GGAATATTTTTCCAGTTTCTCACATACTACTTATTATCAAATATATATCCTCAAACGCCTTCAGCAATATATAAACATTCTCAATCGTCGTTTACAGTTTGTTTTTGCTTCATTTTATCAGAGTCTTTGAACAACTCTGTTAAGTTTGTTCGATGTATTTTTTGAATACTCTTGATTGCATTCCTCGATCAAAGTTATTACGAACACTGGAATTGTTTGACTTCACTGTCACCCGGCCCAGAGAAGCTTTATGTGGTTCCCGCGCGCTGAGTCCCGGGGCTTGGGTTTCCTGTTCCCGTACGGGACCAGTATGTCGTCTGGACTATAAGACTTATCCCTTCTGCTGTTCATCACAATATTGTGCAACATAAAAGTGAAGAACTAAATAAAGGCGGTTCACAGGGAAACTGTATATTACCCAAGTGGATTGCCTTGGTCAGCACCTTAGACCTCAGGTATTGAAGCATGCCAGAAACAGAGAAACAGACTATTCAACCTTCAATGCTAAAGTGTAATCCGCACGAATTAATTGTATTTCATTTCCGTTATGATTTCAGCATATTAGATTGTACCTGATCATACTGTATTTGAGCTATAAAACCACATCTTTCATCTGGCAACGACGATCGCGGAATTCGTATATGCGCTTGAGCGCTGCTTTTGTTTATGCTCCAACCAACGGAGTGTGAACCGCCATCATAGGACAGGGAAAAGCTTGAACATAATTGCCAGAGTTTAAAGTCGGTCTTTGGCCGATTCCATCATATCAATCACCTCATGTGTTTATGTTTGTTTGTTTTCTGTTCGAAGTACACCGACTGCCTTTTCGGTTTGTATTGCCTTTTTAAATTTTTGTTGATGGCATTTCGTGTATCGTGTTCGTTTCGCGCAACGGAATGATCATCCGAGTGAAAAGTATGTTTAGAAGTATTGTGTTTATGTACGATGGGTCATCGGGAAATAAAAGAGGACTAAAATGAATGGCATTCGAACGTTTGCAGTTATTACATGGAGTGTTTAACATTTTCACTTAAAAAACATAACATTTCAACTCAATGTTATGTGAGTCACGAATAGGCCATCTGTATGTAAAAATCGAAACATTTATTCCGTTTTAAAGCAGTCCTTTGGGTCACATTGAAACTTTTTTAAGTTGTCAATTAACCTTCAATGCTATTACTATTTTCTCCTTGATGTTTGTCCATTGACAATGGCCTGTCTGTTTTTAACCTCTGTCATGATACACTCCCCCTTCTTATTTCCTACAATCCTGCACATATTTATTCGACTCCAGGATTAATCGATTTGTTTGGTAGTAAATTAGATATAATGCAGTGGATTTAATTAATTTTCCCCAACTATTTATACTTTCTCCGAAATTCATATCTCACCTTGTTTAATTTCATCTGTTCGTTTCCATATCTGCTTTTGCGGCGGTCAGTATTTACCTCAAGTGGAAGCTACTGGCAATTTGGCCGCTCGTCTTTTGATCGTTGTCGGACGTCGACTGGCATGGTACTGCTTCGGTTCCCAAAACCCCGAGGGTGTCTCGTATCAGCTCAGTTTACGAGCTTGTATTCCGTTCGATTTGGAATCTTGGCTCCGCGGTTTGCAATCAGTAAGTGAAAATCAATGAAATCGGACCTCTTCAGCTGTTTCCAATCAGTAAGCTTTGATTTTTATTACTCGGAGATAACTTCAAATTTTCCGGATCGAAACAATTCTTCTCCTGATGTCTGGAAACTGGTTTATCGAATAATCGGTGTAAATTATGTATAATGGTGTAGTACCCATTGGGGACTGTTAACGGATGAAACTCATTAAGTGGCAGAAATTCACGAATGCTGACATCTCTATCGTGCGTGGTCCAGTTAATATTCGAAAGAAATTAATAGCAGCACTAAGTGAGTCGAAATCTGAAGGAAACCATGTGTCATTGATCAACTTGCCGCACATGTTACGTCGTTTTACCTTATCTAGGTACGTTAATTATTCAGAGGGGATCTTCCGCTCTTAATTCCTCTCTTTCCTTCGCAGATGGAGTTTATTCACTCGTCTCCCGTTTTTATTTGATTGAGAATCTTTTTCCGGGCTGATTTAGTATTCAGGTTGATTTATTGCAGCGAATTCACCCTTTTAGGTGCTGATGAATGTCCAAAATCCTTTTGTTATAAAAAGTACAATCTTTTCTTTTAACTATCTCAGCAATCGCACCGTCAATAAATCTGCTCCATTGCGTGTTCCTTTGAGCACAGTGTGGACTGAAATACTGTGTATTTCTATTACTATAATGTAGCTACTCATGAGTAGAATATTGAAGCCGATAGTTGCTTCATCCTCACACAGCAAGTTGTCATGCTATTCCGCGGTTCTGTGATTGCTCATCATATTGTACCAAAACATGGTATTTTTATTTTTACTGACTCGTTCTGTGTTATATCGTTCTAATAAATTTCAAATTTCGGTTCAGTTTCGGAATGTAACCTCTTGCACCATTTCACCTCATCCACTAATCCTGAAAATTCAATTATTTGTCGTATATGTTTACTCCAATATCCTTCGATCACCGTGTAATGTGTCCTTCGTATTTAGTAAACAGGTTTTTAGCATTCGCATCCATTTGAGGTCCGAATCATGCGCTTACTTATGTTAAATAGCTTAATGCGAGATTTCTGTTCGATTGATGTTCTTTCATCTGACTATGGTATATTGAACTACTCATCCTTCGATGTGCACTACGTTTGTTTTCCTTCGGCGTTACAAATGTTATTTGTACCTGGAAATCAGGACACTCGGTCACATAAGTCGCATCAGGTCTCGTCAATGGACACTTCGGGAATTTAGAAACCCACTATTTTTTAATTTATACATACACATTATGTAACACTGATCGTACTTCTTCGGATATATAGGTATTGACCAAACTCGTGCAACATCCTGATTTTCATCACATTTGTTCATCTCAATGCTTTGTTTTTCCAGTCTCATTTACGGGATTGAATATGATATTGCCCCACATCAGACGCAACATACCTGATATAATATCCANTTCTGTTAGCCATATGCCATTAAAATGTACAATTTCGCGATTTTGACGACGGTTGCTGGCGCATCAGTTGTAAGATAACATAGTCACAGTAGAGAATGTAATTTCAATTTAATTATTAAAATGACTCATGAACTTTATACAGGTATTGTGCTTTTCATCTCGTTCATGTTCCATTTGCCCTCCACTTTTGAGCACTGCAGGCAGTCTCTTTAGCATGGAATCCACCAAGTTGACTGCCAAACAGAATTTGCAAGCTTCCTATAATACACCGCACACCTTTACCAATGCCAAGGTAGCTAACTTATCCAGTTTCAGATAGAAGGAAATGTTTTCAATTAAATTAAAGTCCCAGCTACTGCGTGGTAATAGAACGAGTTTGACATTAAACTTGACCCCCCCCCCTAGAAACTGCATAAACGTGAAGAAATAATATTTATTTAGGTCTAACCGTTTTCTACCACCAAACTCAAGCGAGCTGATAAACCAAACTTCATGTGTGAAAAGTATGACTTCCGCAAATGCATGTTGGGAGTGACAATTATCAAAAACCTCCCTTATCAGTGCAAGAAATTTTGCTATGTCCATATTGGCGTATGCAGTAAACCAACAACAATGCGCTAAATACTCACTTCTCTTCCAACTCGTTAGGTGGGATACATATTTACTTTTTTTGACAGGTAAAAAGATATTCATTAGAAAAGTAGCTCAGTAGATCAGCTTTCACAATATGCTGAATTACTCGTTGACCATCAGTGAGATAAAACCATTGCTAAATGGATGGGCGACGCGATTTGAATTTGTCGGTAAAATTAATACATGCTCTGCTTTGTTGGGCGTTCAATAACGGCTTTATATCACGTGGTCTCAGCTGCATTTTAAATTGGGTCGCCATTTTCCAATCGGAAGCGTGGGGGGAAAATAGCTAATCAGCCCGGACTATCCTCCAGATCGGTTTTGTGCAACTCTTCTCTGCTGCGATCAAATACAACCATCATCTTACTTTGATATGGCTGGTTTTCTCCCTCTCGGTTCATGTATTGATGGAGAAATTTCGTTGAATAGGTTATAAATTGGACTTATGTTCAAATTGAAGCACTTCCACTAGACGCCAACTGAATCATCAGATTTATGTGCCTCTCGATTAAGTTGCCTCTTGGCTTCAGTTATATGTCAAAACCTTTTGAAAGTTTCATCCGGTTTGGGCATGGTGACACTCCAGGACGCTTATTCAACAAGCCGCACACCTCAAGGTCAGCTTTCGAAGATCAACTTGTGTGTTTCTTGGACTATGTTTTCAGTTCTTCCAGTATTGTAGATGATGCGTGAGTTGTTTGTAGCCAAATAATTTATCAATTTATTTGAGCTAGAATATTTTCATTAATTTGCTTATTTACTGTGTACTGAGTGAAAAGAGATGAGCAATTTACGATACATGTGCTCAACTTAATAAATAATCTCATGGGACAGGAATCATCTTTTAAAAAAATGAATTCCCATGCTGCTTTGCCTAAAATATTTTCCAACTCAGAGCTGTAACTTTTGAACTACTGCTAATTTTATCGCGACACTCAAGGCCACGCAAATTCAAACGGTGACAGAAAAGAATTAAGAACATAGATGTTGGAGATAAAGTCAGTAATAAATACACTTAACTCATAGCCCCATACATATAAGTATGATATTGCAACCCGACGTGTATTTCCAAAATGGGAGTGATGTTGCACGAGTTTGGTTATCGCTCCTTAACGTAACGTAGTAAGCACAATAAAATGACCTACCGATCCCAGTTATATTTTCCGAATTCAATAGATTTAAGTGATCCCTATTCGCCCCATTCTCTTTTGTGACATTACTCACTTTTCCTAATAGTGTTCTATCCCCCACCCACTTGACCTTGATAGTCAATTTATTGCCCTTCACTCAGCAAACGCGAAGCCTGCTCCTCTCCTTGTTTGGTTATTTGTGAAAACCTCCCTTTTGACGCACTGCCAATCGCTAAACTACGTAAATCCGTCTCTTGCCCAATAAACGGGAGAAAATGCCTTCCAGTTAATAACACGCTTCTTTCATTTGTTCTTCTTACCATTCAAGGACAATTCTTCGGCTAGTTTTCGGTCGATCACGAATAACCGGGATCTGGCTTCGGAGTTCGACCGATTGGTTCCTCTGATTGATTACGTTGTGGAGCATATTCCGCACCAGGCTAGTCAAATGCACATCGCAGAGGCCATGCGCGATGCGATCCACGCAATGCATGAAATGGATTGATCTTTACGACTCACTGATGTGCACACGCATACATATGTCATACGTACTGGTTTCTTGTTTTCTTCCGAGCTGTTACCAAATCAACCATTGTCGCTGAGCATCACACCTCGTGTTCGGGAAACTTTTTTTCTCAATCTGTGCGTGTGTAAATTTCAAATGATTTACTTTCCCACAGACCAATTGTTGTCTTTCTGGTTCCTTCATCTCTCTGTGCATATTATCAACCTCTTGTGCCAAGCACACCCATGAGCCAAATATTCAGGAAATAGTCATTGATTCCATCTTGGATTGGAATAACGACATTCAGCTGCTTCATATCTTGATCATCATTATCATCGTGATATCAAAATTCATTTTCAATCTGAACTCACTAGTTTTCTTCCACTAGTTGTTTGAGTGGCAATGAGAAAAATGAAGTGAACCTTTTCGGAATTCAATGCCCGAATCGAAGCCGGGCCTATCTATTACATCAATATCTGCTTCATGATTTCCTGGACTGTTTGATCTCAAAGTGATGCCACTTTGAACCAGATTCCGGAATTCATTGGAAGAGCTTAGTGAACTTTTGTCACCGAGTGTTTGTCTTCTTTGGTGATTGTCAATCTGTATGGTCTGACAACTTCCATCAAGTTCATTCTACTTAATTATTGTCAGCACGAAGCTTGTGCACCTGTCCACTTTCAACTCGGTCCAGAAATGTTGGTAGTGAGTAGAATCAACTGTCTGTCGACTTCCAATGTGGTCTATTAAGTCGTGTAGGAGATACCAACTCATTGCACCTCGTTTGTCATTACGATCGGATAAAGAAGTTCAATTGCGTTACACTGCAGTGCTCAGTCTGTAGTGACCTTTAAATCGGTGTTCATTTATTTTTTTCCCCTTTTTTCTTCCTTGCCTAATGAACTCGATCGAAAGGTCAAGTTCAGGGATTAACTGCAACATGAACAGCAAACGTTACACATATAAGAACAGTTTATGTTGGGGAAAATAGTCGTGAGCGTCGAAGCTACTAAGGCTTGGTGGTATTGATGTTCCACATTGCAAGCTCTCAAAGAAATTTTACCTTCATGGGAGTAGATGTAATGAACCAACTAATGATTTCTTTCACCATTAACATTATCTCAAGATAGATATATTCATGCAACCAAGTGTTGATTGGTCTTCACGACACCAACATTGTGAAGATCAATTCCCGGTCTACTCAACGAGTGGTTAATCAGCTCTCTGGGCACATTTGCAAGAAAGCTACCGATCGATTTATGGAATAAAATGCCATGTCCTTGTTACTCCCGCACTTACGTATCTCTTTCTCAATCGCGACCGCATCGAGCGGTGCTCACCAGGTGACCCCAACCGCGTGATCTACCCATTTGATCAGAATTTGACCTTTGTCATTTTGCTACTGTCTCACAACGGTCCGTCGCAGTGTCTACGATTGATGCACCAATTGCAACACGAGGTTTAGGAGTATTTGGTTTGCTGACGTGCGGAAAGGACGTCAAATCGGACACTGTCTAAAGTACGTTCATCCATCGGCCAAACAAATAGAACAGATTATAACCCAATCAGACAGTTTGGTTTTGTAATGATTGC